GGTTCTCCACAATATAAACATAATCCTTCTTGACGATGACGAGTCTTTTCTTGCTCAGTAAGAGGTTTGAAATGTACTGCATCAATTTGCATATCCTCTACTTCCAAATCTATGTTTTGAAGAGGTGTTGGTGTTGCCATTGAATTATAGTAACGTTGAGGTCCACTTGTACGGTTCTCAGATCGGAATTCAAAAAGGCGATTGTCGCACTTCACAGCAAAGTCAATTGCTTGACTCAATGTTTGAGGATCAGGTAAGTTGAGCATTAATTTTTTTACCTCATATTGTAATCCGTAGAGAAATTGGCTAATAAGTGCAGCATCATCCCACTTGATATCAGTTGTAAGTTGTGGAAATTGTGAAGCATATAACGTTACTGATCGATTATCTTGTCTTAAAATATGGATCTTATTAGTTGCAATACGAATTGCATCATGTTTTCCATACATGGATCGAAACTCTGCCAAAAAAGCCTCTAGATTATCTAATATTGGATCTCGTCATTCAAGAAAAGATGAAAATCACGATAGTGCCAAACCTGAAAGAAGCGTACTAATGAATCTAACTTGTGATTTTGGAGTTGTATAGCTTTGGGGTTGAAGTTCAATCACAAGTTGCACTTGATTGATAAATCCTCGAAACTTGGATGTGGTGCCATCAAACTTCTCAGGTAGGGCAATTCTTGATTCTCTAACATTTGAAGGGCGTTCCACCATAGGAGAAAGGACATGGTTTGGTGCAGATGTTGAAGCAGCTCCAACCATTTCTATATCTTCACTTCCTGCCAATCTTGTTGCTTCTTGTGGTGATAAATTGAGTTGATGCATCGCAAGCATTAACTCCCTCAACTGTTCTTGCATTTGTGCCATTGCACTCTTCATTTCAAGAAGTTCTGCCATGATAACACTTAGAAGAGAGAAGATGTCTAATATCCCTCAAGACAAATAGAAGAGAGGACTTGCGGACAAAGAAAATACTAAGGACAATATTAGTTTAGAAGAGGGTAATCCGCAACTTCTAATATGCTTATATCTTATCAAAAAAAAGGGGTAATCTACTCTTAATCAAGATTAGACAAAGCTCTGATATTGTAGGTGTACTCTTATCAATCTGTCAAGGACAAGAACTCGATGAAAAAACAATTCAGACAAGTGAGCCTTCACTCAAAGAGAGGTAACAAAATATGTAAACAAGTATATATATTGAAAGAAAAATTGGAATGGCTATTGCCAAAAGACAAGAAAACTAGAGACCCTTGAAACTAGACTAGAAGCAAGAAAGGAGTTGACAAGAGTGAAGAAGCCTTCACTCTTGTCTCTATATATACTATCTAACTAGGAGCTACATGGCGACGTTCTATAGGACCTCCAATATGTGTTGACTTTGTAGGACACATGCCTTGACTTACAAGGTAAGTTTTTTCTACGTGTGGGCCACATAGTTAGCTTGATCTTCAAGCTAACAACATGTGTGGCACATGGCCAACTTGTTGACCACGTTTTTAATCCAAAAAGTCAATTAAAGACACCTATGAAGTCAAAGCAGTATCTAGAAAGCTTCTAAGAAGCTTCCTTATTAAATATTATAGAATTAACTTACTTTTACCTACTTTTACTTACTTCTACCTATTTGTATATGTAATTATTAGCTTACATGATTATGGCCGTGACAATCACTTTTTGATTTATCAAATGAAAGATTATAATTATCACAACCTTTAAAATAACAGAATTGAGATGAAGATCTTGAAGAATGATATATCCTTCCTCAAATAGATGGCGAAATACAACGTGTTTGATATCACGACCTTAGAAGAGACTCCCGATATTTGGTGATTTTATTAGAGGTTAGAACAAATCCTAATGGTATTCTAAATATTTTACTTGAAGGAAGTTATAAATGCCTCAACAATGATCAAATAATAGGGTGGTCTTCTTGCCTTGGTATGAGACACTATCGATACATAAGAAGATCTATCAACCAACTTCAAAGAAAACAAAAATTAAAGTATGTGACAAACACAATTTGTCACATCTTAGATTTTGTCAATATATGATGAACACTCCTCATGGAACTCATTCCTAGAAGGAGAGATAATGTCACAGACATATATATTTAATATGATATTTATCTATATGATTAAGTAGAAGTATATAAAAGTAGATTTATTTCTTAATATTTTCTAAAAAAGCTGCTTAGAAGCTTCATAGATGCTACTTTGGCTTTAAATATATTTATAGTTGATTAGTAGGATAGAAACTTGATCAATAAGTTAATCAGATAATAATAGCTTGGACAAGAAGCTAACTATGTGGCATACATGTAGAAAACTTGCTTTTTAAGAAAAATAAATCTTGAGTGCTATCTAAGCATCTTATGAAAAAAAAAAAAAAGCAAAAATTACCTTAAAATATATATATATATATATATATATATATATATATATATATCCAAAAAAGACAAATTGTGAACCATGATATAAATTAGATCCTAAGAAAAAAACAGTATATACCTATAACAATTCTAAGATTTTTTTTATTAATTAAAGAGTAAAATTTGAAAAAAAACTAAAGAAAGATTCTATACATATTGATTTTGAGTGGTTTGTAAAGGCTTTACAAAGTTATGGTTGTTTTGGGATGGCTTTGGATTTTTGAGAAATATAAAGAATTTATAGTTTATAAAATTTGTAATATTGGTAGACGATCTACAAATAAAATTTTGTGAATAGATCATTATTTTTATGTTAAATTTGTGTAATAATTTTGAATTTGATCTAATAATTCATTCAAAGCTTAATAAAATTTAAACATATTGGAATCTTTGGAATTGGAATTTAAAAGATTGGTGAGGATTTCTAAGATTTATAGCAATCTATTCATTAGATTAAAATAAAATTTTGCATAATAGTAGTAGATTTTATTTGTAACAACTATAAAAATTTTAAAAGCCATTGAACAATGAAATGAAGAAATTTTGGCACTAGGAGATTAGCATCAAGATTGAATAAATAGGATGACCAATACCTAATGGAATTTTAGGATTTATCTACTATTTGGTAAGTTTAATCTTCTTCAAATTATTTGAAATTGTTGTCAATTTAATATTTAAGAGGTTTACAAATCTTGAGTCAAAATCTATGATTAAATTATTTGACATTGAAATTTCTATCTTCTATAAAATTAATTAAGAATTTATTTAAGAATTAGAATTATATTAGAATATGATTAAGATATGATTAGATTTTTTTTTGGATTCGTTTAGAATTTAGTCAAGATTTTTACTTTTAGTAATTCTTTTGGATTTCTATTTTTATTATTTTTTAATCATTTCTTTAAAAATTCTTTAGGATTTCTTTATATTTCTTTTATAATTTCTTTAAGATTTCAATTGGATTTGATTAAGATTTTATTAGGATTTTTATGCTTTAAATGGAATTTATTTAAGATTCTATAAAGTTGTGAAGACCTTGTTGTTATAATCTCTATTTTATCTTCCAAAAATAAGTTCTTGGTGCATTTTTAAGCAAGACTTCATATAATATGACACTAAAAAGAAAAAAAAAACCTAGTATTTCTATTCAAAATTAGTAAAGATTGGAAGTAAGATCAAGTGTGAACTTGTGTGCAATCAATGTTGACATCTTGATATATGTATATTTGCTACAATATATGGTTCTTATAGTGCCAATTTGCAAATATCCATGTACACATTAAAGATTCAACCATGATTATGTAATAATAGTTGCCAATAAAATAAGAATTGTGTAGACCATCCTAAACTTTTACAGAAGATATAAGAAAGAAATGTTTACTAAGGCTATCAAACCAATGTGTTGATTGGTTGATAATGAATAAAAAGAGCCTCCTAAAGACAATTGGAATCAAACAATTGATTACAAAGATATTTGATATATGTATATACATTTTTTAACCATTAGTGCTATAATGCATAAATTATCAACATCTAATGTAGACTTCAAGAATTGAATTGCAAAGACAATATAGAATAAAGGTATAGTTAGTTAGAAAGGTAATGCATGACAAAGGCACAATTGATTGCAAAGATAGTGGACAAAGAACATTTAGTTGGTCCCAAAAGCCATGTACAATAGATGCATAGTTGAGTCACAAATGTAGTGCCTAACATGACTTAGTTGAACAAAATGAGTAGATGTATAGAGGTTCTTCAGGAAGAGAGTGTATGAAATTATAATGTTAGAGAGGGGGACAATGTCTCATTGATGTGGAAAGACCTTTAATTTTGAAGTAAGATGGGAATATAAGTAGATATCATTTGGCAGAATGTTGAAGGAAGAAAAGAGCTCCTTTGCAAATAAATTTATATAGGTTTGATCAAAGGTGACTTTGTTGATTGAATAGCTGAAGCAAACAAGCATCATGCCTTAGGACTAATAAGAAGGATTTAATATAAATTGTTATCTTCCAATACAATAATAAGATTAAAATTAAATAAATAAATAAATTATAGTTTAAAAAAGCATAACTAAAAAAAATAGAGTGATAGTAGACATATATAATATTAATATTATTTTTTTGTGTAAAAAAGATTCTCCTTATTCTATAGATCTATAAATTAATTATGTTTCAACTAAGATTTGATTAGAATTTGTTAAGGTTTATTTAAAATTTCATTTGGATTTACTTAAGATTTATTTGGAATTTGATTAGGATATTTTTAGAATTTACTTATGATTTCTTTAGGATGTTTTATACCTTCTTAAAAAAAAAATTGAGAATATATTTGGAACACTTGTATAAATTCTTTAGAATTTTATTTTTTAGATTTTAAAAAAAAATCTCCATAATTTCTTTAGAATTTCTTTTTAAGGCTTTCTTAATGATGTAAAGAAATTAGGTGCTCACAATGCAAGAAATTCTACGTCGAGACCATTTGCCGCTAAACCCTAGTCTGTAGGGGAATTTCGCAGCTACGCAACAGCACCTCTATCTGTTTTATGTTTCGCAACATGCATTCCAATTTTTTTCAACATGAACTCAATGCTTACGGAAAGCTTCACGGCCAAGCTTTGTGCAAAAGAAGTGGTTCCGATAGTGGCAGGGTAAGGACCGGAGAATAAATAATTTGTGATCGGTTGAGTCAGTTGATAGACGCGGCCTGCGTCACGCTGACGAAGTTTGTTTTGGAGGATCACGCGCTTTTGTGGTGACGAGAATCAAACCTTTGCTAGGAGCGTGCTTGCAAACTCTGCCAAGGTTTTTCCAGAGCTTTCTACGAACAATGAGAATCGTGTACACAGTTGGAAAACAGTTTGGAAGTTCTCCATCTTTGCACCTCAGCGTCGGTCTCTTGCTGCTTGGTTTCATGTCGTCGTATTTTTTTGATATATGAAGCACAAGCGCTGTTGTAGACATGGAGAGAGGGGCACGTGTGGAGGGGCACCCGGATGTTCTTGGTGTGAAGGAGGGGGTGATAGGATACGAGGATCGTGCTGACTGGTGGGAATGGGAAGATAGTCTGGGAGGGGGTTCTGGAACATTTCTTTCCCATCAGGTTCTTGCTATGACTGCGAGATTCAGGCTTATGCAGCGATCGCTAATTCTTCAAACTTGTAAACGTTTTGAAACTTGATTTTTGTTCCTCGGGTAGTGTTTTTGAATCCATTGGAGCGGCTTGAAAACGGTTTCCACTCTACTGCAACGTTCATGTGTGCTTTAATTTCTTGCATTCGTTCAGAAATTTTTCCTTCTGGTTAGCTGATCTGATGGTTACTGGTGGTGAGAATCTTAGGGGTTTTAAGGAATTGCATGCTTTTAGGAAGATTCAACGTCGTCTCAAGCAGACGTTGTAGAAGAAGTTTCATCGGAGTATAAGTGCAGGAAAGTAGTAAATGAAAACTAGCTGAGCAACTTTGCATTGTGCCAATTGCATAATTACGACGACGGCATTGCAGAATGAGCCAGGCTATCATAACAAACGTTAGGATGCCAGCCTGCAGTGCTGGTGAAATCAGCTTACGAACTTGGCTGTAACTAACTAACATCACCTGACTCGTTGCAATCAAGAGAAGTTTCATCATTGCGCAACGAAGCCCCAGTTACTCACAACACTCAACCGAATACAATTAGTTCTATATTTTCACCAATTCTTGATGCTTCTGTGGAATTTTTTGTTGGACGCAAGTGATGTACACCAATCAACCTCCATTTGCGAAGGGGTGAGCGTGTTGAGCAAACAGTGAAAGGTGAAATAGGAAGCGTCAGTGTGTAAGCAATCCGCAGTCATGGGGATATAGAGATCGGCGATTCGGCCGGTAGATGTAACGGCCAAGTGGCGGCCATGATTAGGATCTACATACCTTCGACATGGGCATCGCAAATTTCGTATGGAATCTGGATAACGGCCAATCATAGCCGTACTCCGAACCTATGCAAGACTTTCTTGGTTCCATAATGGCACTCTCGCTTGCTCTTCGCTAATCTAACGACGACGTTGGTGGAGCAGGATATCATTTCCCCTTCATTAGTATGTAAAGGACACTTCCTTCCCTCCTAGTTTTACTTCCCCCTGATCATGTTTCTGTCGCTTCCATCATCACGCCTTCACTCATCGGGTCAATGCTGATCATTGCCCCCCACATTACATCATCAACCTGACCTTTCTCGTCTGCTGGATGAAGGGTTGAAGCGGTGAAGATGGGAAGCCTGCGGTGAGTTTAAAACTTTTGTTGCATTGAGAGAGAGAGAGAGAGAGAGAGAGAGAGAGGAGAGAGAGCGCGAGACCTACAGCGTTCTCTGTGTTTGAGCTCCTCGAGTGGGTGAGAGTTGTGGGTTTTTAAATTTTCAAAGGAGGGGAGGTGAGAAGCGGCTTGCAATCAGATCGGATTTGTGTTGATTTGAAGCCAGGAGCGAGCTGTGATATGTACTCACGTTTGTGAAGGAAAGAGACAAGAGAAACAACAGGATTTAGAGGAAGCTGAGACTAATTGTTAGAAAGGGCTGTGATTGATAAAATGGTCTTTGAAGACTTCAATCCTTGCAATATGTATGGAAGGACGCAGCTGTGTGGCTTGGCAATGCCTCATAAGATTCCTGGCTCGGGAATGCTCATAGAAAACGAAATGCAAAAATCTGTGGAAGAAACGCACGGCAGTCTGCAGGAGCCTGATGATTCTTACACTTACCAAGCAGCAGGCAAACGCTCAGGTCCGCAAAAATTTCAGAGATGCTACAAAAATTTAGATATTAAATTGTACTGTTTCAATAACGAATTCGAAGCATAATTTTTCACTTGATCTAAATTCCATGTTTCGGCTGTGCTCTCGCACAATTAAATATTAAAACAATGCCAAGAACGATGTCGAAATCAAAGACGAATCTCCAGTTTTAGCCTGTTCACTTTGTGAGGTGCAAACATTAACACATCCAAGTGTTGTTCTCCAATATCCTCACCAGACAGTAGCCGCTCTTTCAGACTTCAGCAGATTTTTCAGAGCTATGGTAGGCTTAAAATACCTTTCAGATGCTGCAATTATATAATCCAAGTCCCAAACTCCTGCTGCATGGTAGCATGAAGTTTGAAATAAAATCACCTCTCGCCTAATTTTTGTTGGAGTGACCAGAGATTACACTAAATATGAGTCAAGAGGCTGTGGATCAACCTTGTTTGGATGTAAGAGAAAAGGTTCCATGCATGGTTCGCTCTACCCCAAATTGAGCGAAGAATAGTATGAAAAGCAGCGTGAGAATGCTCTAAGCTTAGCTAGCAGATTTATCCTCATCGTCCTGGAATCTCAAGGAGCCTTAACCCCCTAATTTCAAAGAAGTTTAAAACAAATTTTCCCAAGTTTGATAGGAATGTTGTGGATGTTTGATTTTAGCTAGAAATTAAACGTCTATTGCGGCACAGGTGATGAGGATTGCTTTTTGCAAGAGAAGCGACCGAGGTTGATGCTCAACACTTTCGATGGCCAGAGTCTCGAGGAGGAAGAACATGTGTTCAGTAGGAGTGTCTTTAGCAGCTGCTTACAGGATCCTACGATGCCGGATTGCAGCACCAGTGGAGGCGACCTTGAAGATGCGTTCATGCTCCGGGACTTCCCCCACCCTCGCCATGTCTGCGTTGTGTTTCCGTTTTATTCTCCCCCGTGCGTATCTAACAGCTCTCATTGCAACAAGGTAAGACCGATCGTCATCTTCATTACCCTCAATTTGTCCCGAATCTGCAGAGTAAAAGTCTCCTCTGTATTGGCCAGAGAGCCTGTAAAGCCATTGTGCTGTTTGGGCAGAGGCTCATCCGAGGGTTCTCGTTTCACATTGATCCCGAAGATTTCTTTCCCAGATTTTTGATATGTGTGTTGTCACGCAGTGCTGGTGCTACTCATGTGAAGTTGTGGCACCATGTCCACTATGGGGCACTGGACTGGATAGCACAGACCACTGCAATGCTACTACGTCCTCCTGGTTCTGGCTTAAACACAAGGTCGATACTCTGTTTACCGCTCAGATTTCCCGCCCAATACCTCGATAACCGTGGTTATATTGGGGATCTCGGCGGTTAGAATTCTGTTCGTGAGTACGTCACTAGGATGAGCTATTCGGCTGACATGCATTTTCGGTTGTGGATTTGGCCAGGTAATGAGCGGGCGCGCCGTTGATCAAGGCCCGGTAGGATCCATCACCATGGGAGACCGACCATGCGGGTTCTCACAAGGTCTCTACGAGCAGTCCTCTTTCTGTTCCGTGCCATTAGGTGGCACCTTGGAGCAGTCTGAGATGAGCCATGACCTCATTAGTTTGCATGAGGAGTGCGCTGACACCGACTGTCTAATCGGTTCTTGCAGCCCGACTTCGTCCATCGTCTTAATTCCCTCTCGTCATCGTTCAAATCCCTCTACAGACAGCCAGTAAGTGCCTTCCTCATGAGGTACTTTTGTTTTTGTTTAAAATTCTTACTTTCAAAACCTTGCTTCGGCTTCGGTGATCAATGGAAAAGTGTTTTGAAGTGCTCACCCTTGCTTGGGGCTTCTGCTTGAACAGTTGTTTTGAATTTGGAACAGTCCACATCCCCTTCAAAACACGGCAATTGGACAAATCAGTGGAGGAGCTTGTGAGGTCCTTCGACAAATTTTCCTTAGAACTGTTCTCCAGTAACTGTACGTCCCTTAAGCTAATCGAAGTTGGATTGAGTATTTGCAATTAGCTGATTCTATCTTCAGAAGGGCTCATTGGATCAAAATAGTGTAGACCACAGCGCAAGAAATGCAAGAATGCAGAAAGAATGGCGGAGCTGTCTTTCAAGTTGCTCATTTCTGCGCCTTCTTGATACAGCTTAATAGGAGTAACTGAATTTGTAATTGTTTTTGGGATAGGAGAGCATTGGTACGTGCACATACAGCTGGACGTAGAGTACGTTCATGGCGATGCTCAGCTTGTTCTCAAGAAACTCTTTAGAAGTCCATTAGGCCTCTGTATCCTCTATTTAAATTAGTTGCGTGTTTTGTCACTTAGACCTTTATATCCTCGTTTGAATGCAGTAGGAGATCAAGACAAGCAAGTGGAACTACAACATGTAGAAGTCATTGCAAGAGACGACCTGATTCTGTCGAAGTACCATGCTCTTCTGAATGAACTCTTGTACGTGCTCTAAATCCTACAGCTTGATCCTTCACAAATCTTTTAGGCTTATAGTTATTGCATAATGTCACGGCCAACTTATTTAGTAAACCCAGCGTGGAACACAGACTGGGTTAGATAAAATGGCACTATTCCACAGACGAGGGTACACAAAAATTTCATTTACAGAGATGTTCAAAATATTGTCTGAATAATCCGAGTAGCGTTTTGGACCCTTCGACATGAGAATAACAGAGCCGTGCTCTCTTGAACTTTTCTTCGCGAAGATTCAAATTACCGCCACTATCATGTCACTATCCTCTTTAACGTCGCATGTTTCTCAAAGTTAACCCCCATTGAGATATTCTGTTCCGTACACAAAGTACGAGTTGTAAGAACGTTGACAAATTATAAATTCCGCTACTTCATCCGTCTATGATTCGTTGCCCAAGATCCCCCAGCTGACAGGATGATCTTTGTGTCGAACATGCAGTCTGAATGAAGCACAGGGACATCTGCAAGTCATAGTAACTGTGTCTACGGATTACAATTTGGCCGAGGTAGGCACTGCACATATTCGCACATTTTTTAGAAAAGACCGTGGAGATGATATATTGGTGCTCCGAGAGCTTCTTGAAGAGCTTTTTCCAGACGATCTGGCTCTTCGCTCCCACTTGCAATGCGTTGACGAACTTCGTCGCTGGACGGAGACATCCGATGACTGGAAAACTTTTGCTGGTCTCCTTAGAGATCTGGAGGGCAATTGCTATGAGGAAGCACCCCAACCTCCGGGGTTGTCCGTGCCCTTACGTCCTTACCAGCGGCAGTCTTTGCAATTCATGCTGGAATCCGAACAAAGGGAGGACGGTTTTATTAGCGTAAACTATCAACCTCTTCAAGCTACAGTCGGTGGTATGTCCCTCATGTATTCAGCTTCCCTTAATCACCTCTTGCTGAAAGAGCCTCATGAAGACAGGTCTGGATCTGCACCGCGAGGAGGGTTTCTTTGTGAAGAAATGGGTCTGGGTAAAACAATTGAGGTAATACTCCCAATGATCTTTAACATAACCTTAAGTATTATCGGAATACACTTGATTCCTTTCACATGAATCATATGCGTGTGCACTCTTTTTCACATGAAGATCAGAATTGATTAGGATTCATCAGTAACAGAAAACTGAGTAAATGGCCAATGATTATCCAGATATTAGCTCTCATCTTGGCGAACCCTTGCCCTGTGGATCGGTGTGCGCCTGCATCTTCCAAGGGCACGCTTGGTGAGTTCCTGCAACAGCAACAAAATAATCAACACGGTCGTTGCTTTCTTGATTTGGAACATTCTGACTAGGCTCACCGAGCCTTCTTAATAAAGTGTCTGTGTTTTCTTAATTTTCTTTTGGCGTGGGTCTGCAGTTGTCTGCCCTGTTTCTATCGTGGGACAATGGGCCAACGAGGTTAAGAGCAAGCTTGCTGCGAACCTTAACATTTACATGTATCATGGTTCTAAGAGGTAAATCACTCCAGTTGATGTGCTTTTAAGTACAAGATTCTTCAATCACAGATCAATCAGTCGAATGGCCGAGGGTCAAAATTGTGTATTTCGAAAGAAACGCTATTAGAGCATTCTTCACTCTTGAAACGCTATTGACAAATAATTGCCTTGTGATAATCCAGAATTCGAGATCCGAAAAGACTTGCTAAATTTGACATAGTAAGTCTAACTTACTTTAGCGATGTTTACTTCATTCATATGATTTTGAGGGAACTTGTGATTATACATGAAGTCCTGGAAGAGATGATTCAGTCAATCACCACGGTATATTTAACTTTGTGGCACTTGAGCAGGTTATTACAACGTACGCAACTCTGGGCAGTGACTTTAGTAAGGCTACACAGGCTACACGTCATGGCTCAGGATTTGCAGAACAGTTTTGTCCTCTCCTGAATGTGAACTGGTGGCGTGTTGTGCTTGACGAGTCCCATACGGTCGGTGGTTTTCACTTTCCATCAGTTCATTTCCGCAATATTACTGGAAACAAACTGTACATTGTCACTGAGAAAACAAACAGAATCTGTCGATCTCATTTGTGTGTTGAGGTTTGGTCTGATCAAATTCCTTGTGAAAGGCTCGAAGTCTTGTCAATCTACAATTTATAATGGTCGCGTTGTGAAACAGGTGAAAGATCCAGCACCTTTGCATTCACGTGCATGTGCTCAGCTAAAAGCAGATCGCAGGTGGTGCTGCACAGGCACACCCATAAATACCAGTATTTATGATCTTTACGGCCAGGTTAGTAAAACGATTTCCTTCTGATTGTCAATCACGAATTTAAGTTAGATTTTGAGGGAAGAATGCTGTTTACTGCTGCAATCTATACTTCTGCCAATGCTCCTATTTAATTCAACAACTCAACAATTATTGTATTAATACTTGTAATATTTTAATCAACTCATCCTTGTTGAACCTTTAATTTAACGGTTACCATTGATATTGCAAAGCAGTTTCTATTCTTGAAACTGGACCCCCTGGACAGTAAGAGCACTTTCAGAAGAAGAATAGGGCGTTCTTACGAACGACAGTGTAAGAGCGATGATCAAACAGTGCTTTTGTGGACCCTGCACAAGGTGTGAACTGCTTTAGATTTCAGTATTTGTTATGAATCACTTCTTCCTGAACTTTTTCTAAGAATTAAGCATTTCACGGCTTTTGCATTGAATTTTGGTTTGCTAGTTTCAATGTTTTAGTGATTCATGTAGGCTAAGTTGACAAGAACCTTAGCTTAAAGGGGATATTAAGGCAATATTCTGGACAGTTAATTCAATCCTATTAACGATTGCTCATGATTGGCTCTGACTAGACGTTATAGAATGTAGATGTTATGCTCTTTTAGGGTACAAACTTACAAATAGAAACCATTTGTTGAGGAAAGCAAATCAGGTGAATAAATTTCATTCCTTGTATCAGATTATGATACGTCACACAAAGCAGCAAAAGTTTAACGGAAGGGAGCTGCTGAGGCTTCCTCCCAAAACTGAGCAAGACTTGCCAGTCACCTTCACCGCTCATGAGCGTCGTGCGTACGAGGCGGTGTATCAGCATGTGATACGTAAATTTGAACAGTTTCGCTGCTGGGGTCCTACTGTGGTTTCCAAAAACATTCTCCAGATCATGTCCCTTCTCCTTCCTTTGCGGAGGTATGCTACTCTGGCGCTAATTTACATTATCTTACACTTCACACACGAAAATTTTAACAGTGAGTTCTGTAAATGAAGTCCGAGTGACTAGACCAGTTATGAAGCTATGGGAAAAAGCGTTGGTGTTCGACGTAAATCCACACGATTCTTATCATAATCGTTTTTAAAGTTTCAAGGTCTTTGTTGCTGTCAAATTTCTGATGAGCACATAGCATTCGTTGTTAGGTTTTTGAAGTGAATTCTCACGATGATGTTCCTGCTTTCAGACTTTGCAGTGGAGGCTTTGTTTCACAGGTTGAATTGATCATGAGCAAAGAAGAAGTGAGCCGCAGCAGTAATGGAGTATCGCCGGATACAATGTTATCAGGAGGTGCACCAATTTCTCCTACTCTCAAAGGTCCTCAAGATGAAATGGATGGCGAGTGTGGCATTTGTTTTGAACTCATGGAGTGCCCAACCAAGACGCCTTGCGGGCACTGGTAAGCAGCGACTGTCATAGCCCCGACGTTAGACTCGACTGATCATGCGTTTTGACAAGAATTTCCTACGATCTCACGGCAGATAATAACTTCCAAGATTATTCTTGCGCAGGTTTTGCAGTGAGTGTGTCATGTCGAGCTTGCCCACTGGATGTCAAGGGTTTTGTGCAATCTGCGGCAGTCCAGTCATGGCAAATCAGCTCTGCACGTACCCTCCAAACCTGGCCATATCTGCTACACTTGTGCCTCTACTGGATCCCGCAACAACCTCACCAACTACGTCCACAACTGACTCTGACGAGTCTGCGATGCCTATGAAGGGAATACAGATGAAATCTAAGTGGAAGATATTACTGGCTGATTTGGCCAAAGTTAGGAAAGAGCATGATGGAGCCAAGGTGCAACTACGATTTCCTTATTTCTTAGCGGCTGATCGTAAACTCATTTTACCTTTGCATCATGTTTATTGGATATGATGATTTACCATGGTTGGCCACAACATGATCTGTGATGATGTTGATTCTCGTGCAGGTCCTCATATTCAGCCAGTTTATGCAAACTATTGCCTGGCTCAAAGCAGAATTCAAAAAACAGGGAATCAATTACCGGTTCATCAGTGGTGATATGCCAATGAAGAAGCGTGCACAAGCTATAGAGGCCTTTCAGAAAGTACAGAATTTTATCCCCAAACCGAGGCTCCAATCAATTCTGAAAAAATGATCTTCACGAGTGCATACATGTATTCTAAAATTCATCTTCAATTGGCAGGATCCACCAACGACTGTCTTTTTATTGTCCATACGGACAGGAGCAGTAGGCATCACCCTGACAGCTGCTTCTCACGTTTACATGGTGCGCAAAATTGAAGTGCTGCTAATATTTTTAGGATGTTAATGCACATCGAATATCTTTAAGTACTTTAAAGAATTGTTCATAGGCTTCTTTCTGGAGTAAGATTGATTACAATGGCCATCAGATAAGAGCTGCTTATCCTCAACTTTTACTACGTGCTACATGTGCTTACTATGTGGTATTGTTCGTGCACGTGCCCGCCACACAATAGTTGGAGCCATGTCTCAACCCCGCAGTACGTGTTTCTTACACACATATTTGCTGAATGTTGCGAACAATTTATATATAACAGGAATTACTGAGATTCATGAACATTCCAACTCTTTTCGAGCATATTTGAAGAGTTGTACAACAAGATATATCCATAGCAGAGAGCTTCCTCAGTGATGTGCAACATTGGCTATCCTAACAAATGCAATGTCAAGCTGCAGCTAGAGGAGCAGGCGGTCGGAAGATGCTGGCGGATGGGTCAAGAGCGTCCAGTTGTTATTAAAAGGTTGAAACCTAACCTAGAATCGTACATGAAGTTGAACCTCAAATAGTAATAAAAATAATAAATTATAATTAAGTTGACGAATCATTACCAAGGACTTGATCTTCAGAATTGTTTGTACAGAGAGAGAATCTCGTAATTCTATGCATCACGCAACTTATTTTTAGTATTTACATTGAAAATTAGCCATGTTTACACGATCGCTTCATGCCTGCACTGCAGATTGTATGTGGAAAATTCTGTGGAGGCAAACATCTTGAAGTTGCTACGTTCACGGATGTCGGTTGCCAATATCTCCGGCTCTCAAGATGTGGACTCATCCAACAGGTAATTAACCACCAGTCTACAGAATTGTGTGGACTCTGAAAGTGCATCTTGAGTAGTCGGACATTGCTTTCTGAAGAAATTCTGATTTATCTCAACTTGACACTAATGTTAAATGTCGTTTTATTTGCTGCAGGTCTTCAAAGAGCGGAAAAAATGCAGTAGCTGATGTGGCTGGTTGTATACGCACTGACAAGCAGAACTTACGTCTGAACGAATTTGAGATACTTTTTTCATGAAGTATGGACTTTTGAAAGAGGAACTTTCTTTCAATCCTAGATAAATCAGCACCCTGAATTATGTAATTGTACATTACAGAGCTAACGAGTTTAGAAGGACCCTTAGCTAGTTAGACAATAACTATACTCAACAACCTTATCAAGTTCAGTAGTAGCTGACGTTGTGCGATCCGTGTGCTACCCATTTGTTAAGAACAACCCACTTTCTGATGGCAAATAAGAAGACCATGGCCGAACGACATAGAAACAGAATAAGGATAGGGGACGAGAAACTGTACAGTGTTTCAGGTGTCCACAAATTGGACATCTCCAAAAAGGCCGCGATTCCGAATTGATAAATGCCGGGGTCCAGCATCTTCTAACAAAAGTTATTGGACACTTATTAAACTTTGAAAATGAACGTCAAAAGAGTGTTCACGTCGTCTCTTAATCCCCCAACTTCTGGAACTTCTGGAACAGTAAATGCATGCAAGGCCGAGATCCTGCTAAATTCTATAAGAAACTATGGAAAGTCTGTTGCACTAAAGACATAGTGCGTGGCGCAATTTAGCACCAGTATAGAGAGCTCTTGAGAACCAGCAGTTGAGAATCATAGATCTACCCTGAAAGTGGAGACAGAATATTGTGATATCCATGCTACAGGATTGTGATGAAGAAATTTAGTTCTATCAGCTTCGCCCTTCCAAAGTCGTGCTGACGGAGAATGGTAACACGAAGTACTTTTGATTAGAAATGAATGAGCTAAGAAGGGCATATGACAGCGAGTTCATGTGCTTCACATTAGAAAAAGTCAAATTGATACTTCTCCCTGCAAATTACCTACACAACACAAATTCATCTTCTATTGTGGGTGACTTCCTTCACAGAACTTTGCTTCATCGTAAGATGTAAAAGACTACTAAGATTGGTTTAAGTTTGGGAGTTGTTAAAGCCACACCACAATTTTGTTAGAGCCATATCCCCAGACCATGTGATAATTAATTTTGGGGATAGGGAATGAGAAACGGGGATAGGGAATAAGGAACATGGGTTGGAAATGGGGATGAAAGACATGGAACAAGGGACAGAGATGGGGATGGATGGAATTGATCATGAGATGGTAATGTGGGGTGTGGCTTTAACGATTTCCTTAAGTTTAGATTAGATGCCAGCTAAACTCTTGGTACTATCTCTATAATAAACCTATGTTGGGCTTCATCATAATTAAGTTGGAATCTTTCCTATTCAGATATAATGTGTTTTTCTTATGGCCAGAAACCAAGTAGCAATTTCATGGTTAGAAGTTGCAAAAATAGATTTAGAAGACATTTTTATTTGTTTAATTTTTTTTGGAATTAAAGAAATAATCCTTTGATATTACTTGAATAACATATATGATCACACAAAAGAAACATCATCACATAGTAGTAGATCATTACAATCTTATGTAGGATAGATGAATAGGCTTGGTCCTTTAAGTGAAAGGTTTCAATCAATTTATAAAATAAGTATTTGTTTGATTATATATCAATATCAATTTAATTAGTCAATTTTATTGATTTTTTTTTAAAAAAATTTGATTTAGATTTGATTAAGATTATTTTTTAAAAACCATAAATAAATACATGCATTAAAAAATAATTTTTTCCAACTATAATAGAAATTATATGGCTATATTCTTATACTAAGTCATCCTATAAATATTTCATATTAACTCTTGCTTTTTTAAAATTTGAATACAGTATTATTTTTATAATTATTATTTTACATAATCTCTAATGTTATATAAATAAAATTCTAATGAGGTCTTTAAATCAATAATAATATTATTAGTATATATATATATATATATATATATATATATATAGTTTAAATAAGTATAACGATTTGAATTAAAAAATATTTCTAAAATTATATAATTGATATTTACAAAGAAATCCAACCATTGTTAAGACCAATTTATACCTTATAATTAAATAAATTGGGCATTTTAAAAGAAATTAAAAATTCTAAAAACATCAGTTTATATTTAAAATGATATGCAAATATTTGAATCTCCTTTGAAAAAAAAAATCTGATTTACAAATTTATGCTAATTAATATAGACTGAAAAAATTAATTAAAAAATTATTATAAAATTTAAATTATAATATTTAAATTACAATATTTTGTTTTTATTAAAATTTTAATAAGCTAAGATCTATATTAATATACATATTTTAGAAGAAATAAATTTGTGAGTTTTATTAAAAAAAAAAAAAAAAAAAAAAAAAATTCAATAATTGATTTCTTTAAAAATACTATTATTTTTTTAAAGGATCTTCTAACTTGGATTTTCTTTATATTAATTAGAAAAGCAAAAATATTCTATGTCAATACATGTTTAAAATCATTTTTCAGCTTAATCATTTTGTATACACATTTATTGCTTGCAACTCATATTTGAGTTTATATATAATCTAAATCAAAATTATATTAAACTTCTTTTCAAGATTAAATATTATTTTAATCTTAACTGAAAATATACAAGATTTAATAAATTTATCATTTAGTGGTTTCATTCTTGTCTAAACTTTTTAAAATTATAAATTATTATTTAAATAATAAAATATCATTATGTTTACTATAAAATATTAAAGTAGAAGATTATAGGTATATTTATTATAATCTAATATTTTTTTTAAATAATAAAAATAAAATTATAGATTAAAATAAAATTTTAGTATAAATATTTAAAAGATTAAAGATAGCCATTTTTATATCATATATATATATATATATACATATATATTAGATAAGAAAAAATAAAAAGAAGGGAAAAAAAAACATATGAAAGTCTATTAAGCTAAGATACCAAGTAATCTAGTTGTAGGACAATTCTATGAAAACTTTTTTTAAATCTATAAAATTCTATTAAAATTTCTTTGTTCACATAACACAACTAAAAATATTTGTGAGTGTACGGTTCTTTAATTTTTTGAAAAGAAGATAATACTAATTTAATATATTTTTACTTATTTATATTTTTATTACTTAAATAATATAAATATCTAATATATATATATATATAAATTTTTTATTAATTATTTGATTTACATTCAAGATTATTTATTACATGTATTTGATATATATATATATATATATATATATATATATATATATACTAATAAATTATTATATATAATAATTATAATTTAGATAAAATTTTAAATTTTTATTTAAATATTTCTATTAAAATCAATTGATATATATTCTATTTCTTTACATGGATAAATATAAAGCCTATCAAAGACAAAAATTCAATAAATATAAATAAATAAGTAAGATATTTTTTAAAGAAAGATGAAATATATATATATATATATATATATATATATATATATATATATATATATATATATATTCAAGAAAAAAATAGATGACTATTTTCAAAGACTAAGAAGCTAGAAACTCTTGAAATTAGACTAGAAGTAAGAAAAGAATTGAAAAGAATTGAAAAGAGTGAAGAAGACCTCATTATTATCTCTACATATCGTATCTAATTAGAAGCTACATATTGGCATTTTATAGGATCTTTGACACATGTCCAACTCACAAAGCACATGTCTAACTTGCAAGATAAGCTTCCTACACATATGCCACGTATTAACTTGTACCACATGTGGCCAACATATGCAACATATGGCCAATTTATTGGCCTAGTTTTTAATCTATCAATTACGTATAGATACATATAAAGAAAAAGATGTATTTATGTAGCTTCTAAGAAGCTTGTCTATAAGATATTATTAAATTTATTTACTTTTATCTACTTCTATTCATTTATATTATTTAGATAATTATTAGAATAAATATAGATATCCATGATATTATTTCTTTTTTAAGAATCTATTCTATAAAAAGTTGTGATTATGTATTGAAAAAGTTTAAAATATGTCAAATTATTTTTTTCACATAATTTAATCTTTGTCTCCTTTAAAGGTTACTAATAGGTGCTTTTACAATTAATAGTATTTTATACTATCATAAAAAGATCACTCTAATATTTGATCATTTTTTAGGCTTTATAATTTCTTTCAAATGAAACATTTTTAACACCATCAAAAGTGGTCTTTGACCTTCAATAGTATCACCAAATATTGGAAGTCTCTTCTAAAGTCATGATATCAAATATGTTTTATTTTGCCATTTATTCAAGAAAGAATATGTTATTCTTGAAGGTCTTCATTTCAATTACATTAACTTGAAGACTATGACAATTGCAATATCTTGTTCAATGATTTAGCAATTGATAGCTCTTAAGTTGAATGTATTAGTTATAGATTTTTATCTCCTTAGTACCACAAATATAAAAAAAATTAAAATTAAAGATAAATGATAAAATGTAATCTTTATTGAACTTCATTTCTTTTATAGGAAAGTATTATTGAACACTTCATCTTAATTTTGATAGATATTGTTGATGAAAAGCTTTGATCTTCTTTGATGCATTTGCAAGATTCTTAGCTAACTTCCATGTGTATTTATTAATATGGATTTTGTACCAAAGTACAAGATATTCGAACCTATTTTGGTACTACCTTGAGTCTAAGTCTTCTTTGACGTCAAATTCTTGATTATTTTCCACTTTTATCGGAAGAGGTGGCATTTGTTTTTTTCTTTTTTAATATATCAACTATTTTGTATGATTTAAAAAGAGACACATGGTATATAAAATAGATCTTCATAGAATTTGGTAGATGTAATCAATATTGATTTTTTTAAAAGTAAGAAATGATTTGAATCTTTAATAATCTAACTTATTGTAAAGAGAGTTAGTCTTAATAATACAATAAATTAACCATACCTTGTCACCAACATAAAATTAACATTATTTCTTGCAATAAATACCTATGTTGATTTTTTTTGTTCTTCAACTTCCTTTAATTGTTATTATATTGTTGTATGTAGATATGATGAACTTATTGATAAATCTTCCATATTGGTAGCTTGAAGAACAAGCTAACTATGTGGCCCACACATAGAAATTTTGCCTTGTAAGCTAAAGCATGTATTTTGCAAAGTCAACACATATTAGAGGTCCTATAGAACATTGCCACATAGTTCTTAGTTAGATAGTATATATAAAGGCAAGAGTGAAGCGCTCTTATCAATTCTTTTCTTGTTTCTAATCTAGATTTAAGAGTGTCTAGTTTCCTTGTCTTTTGGCAATAGCCATTCCAATTTCTTTTTAATATACATACTACTTTATTATCATTTTGTCATTTTTTTTTTAACATAGATTTTTTAGGTTTATACATCTTCTTTTGGTTCATGTCCTTAAAAATTATTTGAAATGATGAATCCTAAGAAGTCAATTTGAGTAGTGTGAAATATATACTTTTCTATCTTGGCATATAGTCTTACATCTCTTAATTTTTATAATACATAATAAATATAAATTTTATAATCTTTTATATTTTTAGAATAGATTTAAATATTATATAAATAATAAATTATAAAAAAATCTAAATTTTTTTAAAAGATATCATTTATTAGATATTGAAAAATAACTAGTACATTTGTGAATCTAAAAGGCATGACATTATATTCAAAATATTCATATTTAATATAAAATATAATCTTCTATTTATTTCATTTTTTAATTTATATCAAATTATATATTCTTTGTAGATTTATTTTTAAATAAATCTTAGCTTGATTCAATT